GCATTAAATGTCACACTGCATTTAATCAGCACATGCAATCATCGAAAGAATAAACCAGTTGTATTCTAGTATATGCACTATGTAGATGAGTGACCGAGAGAGAAAGAGAGTGAGGGAGAGAGAGAGTGTGTGTGAGAGAGAGATGCAATGCACCATGCATACCAAATCAGAGAGAGGGGCTGGACTACTTGGGGAGTCGAAAGGGTGGGGGCACATTTCACGCACATGCACAATTTTCCCGGAGGAAAAAAAGCGTGCTAATTGAAAAAAAAAATAAGCTCGTGAAATTCGTTCCCTCCACTCACCATCACTCTTGGTTCCTAAGAAATTTGAGGCAGGCCATTTAAACCAAAAGAGAGCGAGCATACCATAATATTTGCTCTTAGGCTGGTCATAGTGGGAGTAACTTAGGGGGTGTTTGTTTCCAGGGACTTTTTTGTGCAGGGACTAAAAAAAGTCCCCTTTAGATACTATTTTACCAAACGGAGGGGGGGGCCTTTTTAGTGACTAAACTAGGCATTTGGGACTAAATGAAGAAGACTCTCAAGGAGAGTCTTTTTGAGACTTTTTGGGACTTTTCCAACAATGCCCCTTCATGCATCTATTGGCCCGCCACCCCATGGTGTTGTTTGATTGTTATTTTTCTATATATTAGGGGCAACATGGTCATTTAATAGCCTTTAGGAAGGAACTAGGGACTTTTTAGTCTCTGGAAACAAACAAGGAGGGACTTTTAAGGGACTAGGGACTTTTTAGTTGGGACTAGAAAAAGTCCTAGGACTAGAGAACCAAACACCACCTTAGCAAGTAACATAGCGCATTTCAAGACAAGTTTGCTTATGTGGTATATAGTTAATGAGGAGAGAGGTGTTTGAAGTAACATAACATGAACCCAAAGCAAAATGAGTCTATAATGTAATAAATGCTATCATTTATGATATTACTTGTATATTACTTTGCACTATGAAGATAGTAAACAAAGACTAGTGTCATATGCATGACACTAGTCTAAGTTACTCCCCACTCTAACTAACCTTAATCTCACATGAGCTCTCGGTCCTCAAGAGACCTTGTGTGCCTACTTCTCTTTGTTTTCCCTATATCTTTGTTCTTTTAGCTTTCCTAAATGACAACTCTAATCACCCAAACAAGAGTCTAAGTCCAATAAGGTCATTTTTAGGCTTTAACTCGCTCTAATCGAAGCGCAAAACGTCTTTAACTACAAATACTATTTGGCGCGTCACAAAAAAAATCCTCCCCACCAATATATAAGAGTTTCCGTCTACCTCCTCAAAAGCGCCCCAAAACCCTACTTCAACGTGGGAGTGAAATTAACCCTCCCCATTGGCGCGTCGATTCCACCACAACCATCCATCATTAGTCCTTTAATTTATCGTTGTATATTTGTGATTAGACCCCACCCACCCCTCCTCAGTCATGCCAAACAAGATTGTGAGGGATATCACCACTTGTTTTCCCGGCTCCCATGGTGGAGGTGCCACCTCATGGCGCCCCCGGCCGATAGCCGCGGATCCAGTCCATGCAAGCTCATCGTCAACCTTTGTCAGCGCATCCGCCTTCGCAGCAAGATCAAACCTCCATCTACCCATAACTCTAAGGTGTTGGCATGGCGGAGGTGTAGATGCTCCCAGACAACATGGATGGAGGAGGCATCACAACTATAGCTGCACGAGCACAACAATATGGATCTTGAGCAGGAGGATAATGAGATCAACGAGCAAGGATGAGCAGCAGTGTGTCTTGAGGAGGAGGAGCGCATGCTTTTGACGTTTCACGGGAGTAGTGCTGTCATGAGCTCCGGTACCGCGAGTACATCGCCGACATGGAGCGGTAATAGACAAGTGGTGCACCATCGAGGAGTCGTAGGCGACATACACCCATGACCTCCGGTAACATGACCACCTATGAGTCATTGTGACGTCAAGGATAAGGAAGCAGCGGTGACATAAGAGGAATTCCCGGTGATGGCCATGATGATGCCTAACTACGTCATCGTCATCTCATTTGACTCCGACGACGAGGCCAAGGGCGACCGTCGAGAAACTAAGTTTTTTCTATTTATAACTATCTTTAATTTCAATGTAGTGTTTTAAGAGATTTTCTTCCTCAAGTCATGTTCATACCGCAACTCTAGAACCCAAGCATATGTAGGGAGGGGGGAATTTGGGTGTCC